GAGAACTGCCACACTAACCAAAATATCGAAAGAGAAGGCAAAAGCCACAAAGCCGAGGCAGGCAGTCCTTCTGGTTGCAGCAAGTGCTCGTAGCTGTGGCCTTGCCAACAACTCTCCCTCCGGCGGCCTTGCCAACTCGGAGAGGGCAGCCCATGCTGACTCCTTTAGGACCCTGCCACAGCGTGGACCGTGCCATCTCTCCCTTTTCTATTTTGTAATTTGAGGGTGAGGAGTTCTCGTTGTGTTGCCTTTATTGCAGATCCGAGGTATCTGATGAGGACTGGAAAGCAAACAATAATAATAATAATTATGATTTATGAACACACCAGCTTAATGTATCAAGGACCAAAAGGAAGTATTCATAAAAGCAGAATGAAGGGACTGGAATATCCCGTTGGCCACATCTTCGGGGACTATAGATTGTAATTGGGCACAAGAAAGTTCGGATATTTTTTCATGTAAATTTGTTAAATCTACTCCTAGAGTAGAATGACTGCAAATTCCTTTTATATGCATCTGAATCTGTTGCCATGAAGCATGAGAATCATTATAAGAAAGGGGAGTAACACAAATCCATTTATAATTATGATGACAAGCAGTTGTAAGTTGAACCTTAATGTTTTGTATCTCTTGTCCTAAGAAGAAAACTGCTTCTTCTAATACATTAATCCTATCTACTAATTGTTTACCTATCTTTTCTTGTTGAAAGAGAGCTGTGGAAACATTTAAAGAGAAATTATTAATATGTTCAGCTGTATGAACTTGTTGTACCAAAGCAGCAGTAGAAGCGGCGACAGACCCTATGATAGCGATTAAAGCAGAAATTCCTAAAATTAAAGCTGCAATAAAACGTTTAGGACGAGACAAAGCATATTCTAACTTTTGCAAAGCGGCAAATCCTGGATCAGCATACCAGGATTGTGAAACATTCACAGGAAGTAAAACATAAGGGGGTCGCCTTAACAAGAAATAGTGTTGCTGAGGGAAAAAGGGATCTAAACAATTAGTAATGGAACAATTAACACAATCAACATGGGTTATATCTCCTGAATAAGTTATATTTAATTGGTTTGAATTATTGTAAACCAAAATAGCGTAAAGGGCATGTACACAAGCTTGTATATAATAAGTTCTATTATTTTGTGGCCTATGAAATTTGGTTACATTCAGAGCAGCAAACAAACGGTATAATTGAGTTTGTGGAGTTGCTCTGGTGTTATTATTTATCCAAATAGGTGTAGCCCATCCAGGAGTATACCAATAATGAATAGGATCT